GAGGCGGCGTGGCTTCTCACCTTGTCGGCTACGGTACCCTGGCCAGCCTTAATAGACATGGCCTTGGCACGCTCGCCCACAGACCAGGGCACTCGGGGACATCTCGCCTGGTACAGAGCACGGCCAAGTTTTTCCTGGTCCCTAAGTTGCCTTTGGCCCGTTTGAATCACAATTGCTCGCGAGCATTGCTTCATATTGGTCGGGCTAAAAATGTGGCGCAGTCTGCGGTTCTTGCCGAAGTAACGACTGCAGTTGCATTCAAGCTTCCATAGCCAAGGCAGAATGCTTCCAGTTCATATTAAAATCGTACGCTTCATTTCCATGGGGCAGCCACCTCGAGTTGAACTGGAGTTGGACCGATTTCTCACAGAACTCGAGTTGAAGGACAGTGGCGTCGTTCACGTGAGTTCGACGGCTCTTTCCCAGGCATACCTGCGAGCCGGAATGGCATACATGTAAACGTTGGCCCAACGTATGTTTACTGGTATCCAACTCGAGTTGATGGAAATATTTGGAAATTATCTTGCCTTCGTGGCAACTCAATTTAGTGGCTCGTGAGATGATGTTGGTGCACATTTACTACTTGTGTACGGTTTATATAGTAGTGGTTTTAAGTAGTGTGCATTTACACTTTATCTTGCTTTTGCGGATTAATTTAAATCAAAAGCTGTTCAAGAAAATGTGCCCTTGTCGCACTATGTTGGGCTGCTGTGTTTGTATCTTTCCATTTCGTGTGTTATTTTAAATTGTAAAATGGTGGGTTGAGGGTTCTGTGAGTGTGCGCATGCATTTGTGAATGCATCTGATGAGCAGAACTTTGTTTGCTTTAACTTGTATCTAGTTGTAGCTTTCAGCTGTGTTCGTCTCTGTGTGCGAGCGTCATAAACTGGTCTGAAAGCGTGGCATATGCCACCTACACACTCCCAAGCATTTATTTTATAAAGCTGACTTTTTGTAAATTAATAAACTCTTATTCTTGGGATGAAATTTCTTGTCTTCCGTGATTTTATTGTGTGAAGACAGCCCTGTCGATGGGTTTTCAATTTGAAATGACTGCACTCGCACAAACAAATATAGTCAGCCATGGTGTATCCACTCCTGGATGAAGGCCTATCTGAACTGCCACCAACCCCGATGAAGCCTGGAGAGCTGAATGGTGTTCAAAAGAACTCAAAAACACCTTGTGAAGGACCCAACGCAGAAGATCCCTGGGTTTGATCTTCTATGAAGATCACGGTCCACCCTAAATGTCATCCAAACAAACCATGACATGCGGATACCTGAGGCACAAATGGAAAATTGAAAACTTTCCAGTGTGCAACTGTAGTCAACCAGAACGGAACATACAACATATAAAGATGCAATGCCCGATCCACAAATACAAAGGAGACATCACAGCGATACTCCGCTGCTCCTGATGCGGTTATCTGACTTGACCAACTGAATGCACAATTGTCGTTGTTGCTCTGCATCTACATCAGCCGTCCGAAAGAATAATTGGTGCAGCAATTAATCTACCTCTTTTCAAGACGAGCCGATCTCATTACTCTACCTTACAGTGGGTTGGGCTGGCAGCGGATTAGGTGGGGGCTGTGAGCAAGTAGGTAGTGCCAAAGCCTAAGGAAGGGTTAGTAATTGAGTAGATGCGGTTATGCGAACAATAGTGGGGCCGACAGCTCCCCATGCGTCCAGTTGAGCCTCCCAGAAATTGTAATTGGCTGACGTTGCGTTTGGCAAGTGGTGCACTCGCACAAATAACACATTCGTCAACAATGATACCTTAAAAGGCACAATATCATTGGTGACGTTTCGGGCAATGGCCGTTCTTCTTTGCACACGCATAGACCAGAGATGATAGTGCATAAGAGCTGGAGACTGCACTTTACACCATGGGGCCTGACGAGAATTACATTTTAAAAATATTTTCTGATCATAAGGCTGACTGACCAGGGTACCGACGGAATATTTGCACAGAGTAGTCATTGAGTAACAAACTCCCGAAAAGAGTGTAGCCTTAAATTTTGATTTAAAGCTTTCGTGACTGCAGTAATTCATATTCTTAGTTTTTTCGGTAAAGTCACGTTGAAGAGAAACAACAAAATAATAAAATATATAAAACAATAAAAAAAATTCTCACGACGTTTCGACCATAACTCAAACGGTCGTCTTCAACACACCTTCAACACACCTGAAGACGACCGTTTGAGTTATGGTCGAAACGTCGTGAGAATTTTTTTATTGTTTTATATATATTTTATTATTTTGTTGTTTCTCTTCAACGTGACTTTACCGAAAAAACTAAGAATATAGTGTAGCCTTAGTTATAGGTGGTTGGTGCTGGTGCACAGGAAATACAATTATTTCCTGCCACATTCTGGTACACCCCGCAGCCTAAACCTACAAATTTACAACCCCCGGTATTCCTCGGCAGTCTACCCGATCCAAGTACGAACCTAGCTCAACACTCCTGAGATCCCGACGAAGTCATCCCGTTCAGGGTGATGTGGTGGTGAAGTTCTAACGCATACCGTGGACAGCCCACCATTACACAGCTGCCCACTGAACTGGGTGCAAAGTCCGGGGGTGTCTGACCACCACATTTACCCCCTTGTCCCCGTCCCTGCGCTGATGTTAGCCCGATAGCAACAGCCCTTATCACGCCGCCGGCCGTCCTTTGGACGGGTCTCTTGTGTACGCGCGTGTTGCTGTATCGACGTTTCGGCGTTCGCTTCTCTGCACCGCGTGTTGTTTTTCAGCATGGTGTCCGACGTTTCGCTGCACGCGCTTCTCCAGGGAACTGGATTAAGTTATCTTCCGATGTTGGTATTATCCGCTCTTGTCCGTCTGGAGTTGTACGCAGAACCGATTCGATGTGTCGCATTATATCAGGAGCGTGAATGATCTAAATCTGAGAATCTCTACACGTGAAGTGTTAACAGTGTTGCACAGCTCATTTAAATCGTTACCGCACGTGTAGACAAATCGTTACCGCACGTGTAGACAAACTTCCCCCCTTCTCGCCGTAACACTGTTAGGGGCAAGTGCCGTCAGTGAGCATCTACGAATCAGAATATTTCGGCTGGAGGAATCCGATGAGCAATGAAGCTCTTTTTCACAGACGTCCAGTATGGGCTGGTCAACAAGTTACAACAGCAGGACCGGAACGGCACACGACCGGGGTTGGTGGTCAGCACCACGCCCGGCCGCCTTTGTCTCCCTCATGGCAATGTTTACACATCGCACCAGGTACTCATTCGAGGCCGAGTCGGCCTAGGAGATGCCCAGGACCGGTTTAGAATCAAACTCGAGTCGCCAGGTTCGTAGCATAGCGCGCTATCTGCTGCACCACCGCTCCCAATAGATCACCCTGGATCTTATGCAACAGACCACAATCCTATCGCAATTACCAGCGGTCATATGACGGTGCCCTCTACAAATACATGAGAAACTGTGGCCCCAATTTGACCATTTCGAATCTGGCCAGCGGTGTTGTCCTGTGGCCAGGCTACCGTCATAGTAACGTGGAATTTCCGCGACTGGCTCGGCCGCTAATGACGATGAACACGAATGGAGAACGTGGCGAGCGAGACGCTGATGTGAACATAACTTGTGCTGCATCGTGACACATTAATACAGTACAGCGCTGTATGGAGTTGTGAGGTCCTCATCCAGCAGTGGACTGGCACAGTGGCTGTACAAATATTCTTATTCTGATCATCGCTCATTGATTCCGGGTCAGCGTGCTCACATCTGGGTTACACAACTTCGGTGCATAACTACTCGCGTGTTATTACTTAACAGCCCTTTGTCAAATCCGCTGCTAGACGACGCCTCCTCACTCGGCCGTGGCGGTCACGGCGTTGTTTGACCATACTTCACCACGCCGGTCAGTGGCTCGGACATCACTCGCCCCAACATGACTCACGTTCGCCGCGTGGTCGGGAATCGAACTTAGGTTAAGAATGGTCAGCGCAGCGCACCAACCGCGCGTCACACCGCTCCACATTTGAATAAAGGGAATCGATAATGATGGATAATCGTGTGCGATTGCATCACATCTTGAGCAACATTTGTATATTGACGCGATCAGGAACCGCATCGCTAAATTAAACAACGCTTGATTTGAAGTTTTCGTGACTGCAGGGATCCATACTCTTTGGTTATTTCGGTAAAGTCACGTAGGTATACAAATAAAATAAATTAAATCACGACGTTTCAACCGCAACGCAAGCAATCACCATCAGGTGGGAAAACCACAGCAAGACATGTTTTTGTTGAAGTGGGAGAGAGATACCCGGTATCTCTTACCACGGCATCTCTCTCCACATCAGCAAAAAAATATATATTGCTGTAGTTTTCCCACCTGATGATGATTGCTTGTGTTGCGATCGAAACGTCGTGATTTAATTTATTTTATTTTTATACCTACGTGACTTTACCGAAAGAACCAAAGAGTATTAAACGCCGCTGTCGGGGAACGTGATTTCACAGGTACAGCCATTAAAGTAACCCTACTGCGTTCATAGACGACGCCAGGAGTCGGCAAACAAAATAAAAAGAGACATTAAAAAAAAACAATTCAGCCCCAAAAAAAACAACCCTCAATCTGTCAAGAGCCGCGCGATGCAAGTGGACCACGAGACGTTGGTCCGACACACAGACACGTGAAACGCGTTTCGTTTAACGCCCACAGAAAAAAATGTCCCATCACGGCTTCCCCCCCTTCACACCTAATTAATATTCATGAGGACTCACCCTCCGTATAGGCGTGGTCGCCGGGACCACACTGCCAGCCAATGAGCCACTGCGTATTCAAATAACACGCCGTCTAATTAATATTCATAAGACCCCAGCACACCCCCATCTAATTAATATCCATAAGACCCCAGCACACGCCCTGCTCAATTAATATTCATCAAATTGTGCCCTCTCAGCCAATGGCGCGCGAGTGACGCGTCACTAAATAATTAAATTAAGGCGTCACCGTTGGGTATAAAAGCGCGGAGCTCGAGAACGCGCGCCCCTTTCAGTTCAGACCTCAGCACTGACCCGGCAGCCTGCTGCTCAAGTCCGGCAGCAGTGACAAGCAACAAGCAACAGGCAACAAGCAACAGGCAACAATGTCTCAGAAGCCGAACTACAAAGTTGGTACGTCGTGGCAAGCGGATTCGGCGTTCGAGTCGGATGTCAGTCGGAAGCGCCAGCCGTTCACTCTGCGCGGTCATAATGCAATGAATGACCATGAATGCAAAGCCTTGCGCTCCATTGATCAGAGAGTGTTGTAGTGTGAACTCCTGTGCAGAGCCACGCTCTCCACGCCACGCGCAGCCGGTCCTGGTCGATCTACTGCTGGATGAGGGCCACGCCTCGTCGGTCACGGAAATTTGACCCTAAATCGCCGCGAGTAGATTTGGGAGACAGTGGGAGCGCAGTGCGATGACAGCCGTCATTAAAACATCTGCTGTTCGGAGTTACGCAATGTTATTATTATGCGTTGTTACATATTGTGCAGGGCATCGGAGCCGAGTCTCGGAAACCTCGTCGTCGATGAGGGTGCTGCTTTGCTACTGTGGAACGTTGGACCAATTCGCCGATTTTTTTTGTTAAATGCTTATGTGACCGAGTAGGTTTTTTTTATTTCGCTTCGATGTGTGTGGTGGAATCGGAGTTGGGGTGCTGAAAAAAAAACCCGGCCACGCACAAACGATTGGCGCCTGGCCGAGTTGGGCGGTTGCCCCGCTTCGCACCGGCTGGATTCGCTGATCTCTTTGTGAGCCACCAACCCTTTCGGCGATTCGGCTGCGCGTGCCGGGCGGCGTTTTGCGAATTTCGCTCGCACGCGGGCGAAACCTTTAACGTGCTGCGTACTTAGCAAGCTGTCATGGAATGGAAATGCATAATACAGATTTTTTTTTGGGGTTAGATCGCGTCAATATAAGTGTGTCGTTAAACCCGCCACCACCCGACACGGCCAATTAGTAAGGTTTGTCACGTAAACAGAACGTGCCAATTCGTGACTAGTACAGCGCACCGGTGTGTCGGACAGTATACCCACGTTTACAATCTGAGTACGTACGACGTTTCGCCAGTAATTACAATCAGCATCATCAGACGACAGCCAGATTTGTGAACTATGCATTGCATCGTGACACCGCGAATTAATGAAGTGAGACGACGAATGTGAGTGTTCTCTTTATGTAAAGCAACGCCTTTATAAGACTTGGCAGGAACCTCCTGTAAAAGTGACACGAGACTCTTAAGACTTTCCTGAATAAACTCGCAGAATCAAATGTTCATTTGACGAGTAACGTGGATCGTGGCCTCTTGAGTTGATAAGTGACACTGTCCAGTTAAGTGACTGTTTAATTTAGTGAGTAAATCCATTGACGCATGATAAGTTGATGACATACATGTCAACCCATGCGGTTTACCCGTATTCTTGTACAGGGAAATTGAGTTTTCAGGTACCTTTTAATACGGGAAAAATAGTCTGTTTTTCCCTTGTGATGGGGCTTTGTAGGATGAACTTTGAGATTTATAAGGGCACCGGGTGACTAATAAGGTCTGAATGGGTCTGTCATAACTTGGGCACTGATAAGGGGTTGACAGGTAGGTGATGATATCTTGATACCATTACCGGTGGCATCTTCATGAGTTGACAATGATATCGCGACGGCACTCCAAGTTAAACACTCAACACCTTTGTCAACAGCACTGTGTGGCCCTACATTTAGTTTTATAGGTGACGTTTTGGGCAATTACCCTTCTTCGAAGCACAAGGGTCATTGCCCAAAAGCGTCACCTATTATATATTTTTTAAAGCGTCCGTATTATTGATTACTATGAATGTTTTTGGCTCTTCCTGCACTACGGCAGCGTCACCAAATAATGTATTTCCTAGCCTGGAGGTAGGTGGCGTCTTGATGAATTTGTCAGCACCTTGATTAACATTTTGAATGCGTTGCTCTCGTGCATGGGGTCAGCAACTTTTCAAAGAAGAAGAGGCATTTTTTTTAGTTTGTCTTTGACCAAAATAGTTTGAGAGCCGCATCACACGCAGAGCTAATTGTACACATACACAAACTCCGCACGTATACAGCAGATGGCAAAGAATTCTGACTTAAATAAACAAAGATGTGATGGAATAAACTGCATCCATTTGAGTTTTTTCCCCCTCTTAGTTATTCTTTAGCAATACAGTTTGACTACTGTTTTTCCGTCAACACCACTGCCTGCCATATTTAATACGTTATCATTACGTTAAATTATGCTTAAGAGTACTTTTTTTTTAACGGCTACCCGCAAGGGGTCAGCCAAAGAGCCGCAAGGAGGAAGTCAAAGAGCCACATGCGGCTCAGGGAGCCGCAGGTTACCAACACCTGCCCTAATGCCACGCAAGACTTGACCCGCCGTCGACCGCCCATCCCCTCCCCTCACAGCGGACATTTCTCTGGCGGAGTGGGGACGCAAGGCCCTCGACATCGCTGAGAATGAGATGCCGGGCCTCATGAAGATGCGCCAGATGTACGGCAAGTCCAAGCCGCTGACCGGCGCCCGCATCTCTGGCTGCCTCCACATGACGGTGCAGACGGCCGTTCTAATCGAGACGCTTGTGGAGCTGGGTGCCAAGGTGGGTGGTGCTTATGCATACAGGCACGCACGCACACACGCGGATAAACGACGGAGACCTTAGTGGGTTGAGGTATCCCGGGCTGTGTTGGGGCAAGTGCTGGAGTCCTATTTTGGTTGGCATGGCGCACGAGAACGTGGTGTGGTTACCACGGCACCCAACCCGGCCGCCTTTGCCGCCACAGCGCTGATGTTTGCACAACACACCGGGTTCAGATATCACTTGCCACTGGATGTCAACCGTGGACGGGAATCGAACCCAGGTGTCTGGGTTTGTAGCATAGGACATGAACCAGTACACCACCACGCCATTTATCAGTGTGCTCGCAAACACGCACATATTGTTATATACAAGCACTTCTGTTCACGTGTGTACGCTTGTCTTTGTGCACACGTCTGATTGATCACCTGCTCATCCCCCCCTTACTGCCCCCGTCACCCTCCCTGATGCTTCCACCTGCAGGTGATGTGGTCGAGCTGCAACATCTTCTCCACGCAGGACCACGCCGCCGCTGCCATCGCCAAGGCCGGCATCCCTGGTGTGTGCAATGTCACTTGTGTGACGCACCCACACACACACATTGCCCCCATCCGACACACGGAATCAGACACCAACTGGCATGGACACACCGCCCTGATCACGCACACCACCCCGATTGAACACGCCACACTTGAGAGACACACCGCTCACTATGGAAACAACATCTGGCATGGACACGCCACCCCCCATCACACACACCACCCACCACGGACACACCGCACGGAATAGCCACACCGCCCGGCACGGACACACCGCCCGGCACGGACACACCGCCCGGCACGGACACACCGCCCCCATCACACACACCACCCACCACGGACACACCGCCCACTAAGGACACACCACCCGGCACGGACACACCGCCCACTAAGGACACACCGCCCAGCACGGACACACCGCCCAATCAGACACACCGCCCAATCAGACACACCGCCCAATCAGACACACCGCCCAATCAGACACACCGCCCAATCAGACACACCGCCCAATCAGACACACCGCCCAATCAGACACACCGCCCAATCAGACACACCGCCCAATCAGACACACCGCCCAATCAGACACACCGCCCAATCAGACACACCGCCCAATCAGACACACCGCCCAATCAGACACACCGCCCAATCAGACACACCGCCCAATCAGACACACCGCCCAATCAGACTCGCACCACCCAGTTGACACGCACCGCCCAACACGCACACACATCAGCTCGTCATGTGATAGCACGGTGGCCATAGGTGGTCAGGGGGTCATGATGTCAAGGGTGGCCCGTCGGCTGTGTTTGTCCAGGCGGGGCGGTATGGCGGCTGTGCGTGTCATCATGACTATGCATCTCTCCTCCTTGCCGATCAGATTGATTCTTGATCTCTCCCCATGCCAGCGCTGGCTGATGATTGATTGCACAGAGCTGGATGTTGGCGATCTATCTATGATTTACTAGGGTCAGGGTTACAGGGTAGACCCTTGTAGTGACCAATGTTAGGAAAACATGATTATATTTATTATTTAAAGGTCTTGGATTCCTACACCACCTGGTGTCCCATGCTGGCTTTAATAGGTGCTTGCTCGTAGCGCTTGCACAGGTCTGTTTAACATTAGAGTAGTTGCCGATTTCATCTCCCCATATCGATGGTGGACGTACTCTTTGGGCACGTTTTGTCCTTTTGATTGGCTGTAGTAATCTCTTGTAGCCCTTCTAGAATATCTGACGAAACACCCAGCAGATCAGATTCCTCACCCAAAAACAGATTTTTTTTCTCGAATATATAAACGAATTAATCATAATTAATGTTTTAGTCAGATCGCCGCATATGTCGTATACCCTCCTCTACCCGACAGCCAAATAAAGTTGTCACGTAAACAAACTCGCAATGAAAATTCGTGCATTTGATCACATTACTTTATTCACGTCTGTCAGGTGGAGGAGGGTGTACGACACACATTGGCATTTTAATTGCCCACTCGGACCCAAAAAATGTACTTGGGAATCGTAACATATTGGTCACGAAAGCCCACTCGTGACATTTATACCGTGTCTTGCGTAGACAGCTGTCCGTCGTCGTTTTCCCTTTCCAGTCACAAGCGTCACATAGGCCGGTCAGCGTGGCGTAACCCACATGCGCGCGCTCGTGGATGACTTCCCTGACCTGTTGTCCGTTATATGGAGCCCCCCCCCTCGGGTTTCCCCCCGTCGTTGACGAGGAGCCGCGCGTGTGCCGCAGTGTTCGCGTGGAAGGGCGAGACGGACGAGGAGTACGTGTGGTGCATCGAGCAGACGCTCATTTTCCCCGACGGGAAGCCGCTCAACATGATCCTGGACGATGGAGGGGACCTCACCAACCTCGTGCACACAAAGCACCCCGAACTGCTGAAAGGTACGTCGCGTCCAACAGGATGGCCCACCAAACCGTAACGCCCACTTGCTGCCTCGCCGCTCACTCACTCACCCGCTCGCTCGTCCAATAAAATGCTCGCCCATTCTTGTATTCCTGAAGTCGCTCACCTGCTCGCTTGCCCATTAAAATGCTCGCCCATTCTTGTATTCGTTAAGTTGTTCGATCACTCGCTCACTCACCCGATGGATCACCCTTCGGGTTGCTGGACCACACTCGTGTTCATCTGCTCTTTTGGTCACCTTCCTGGTCACTCGTTTGTTCACTCCTGTGTTCATTCATTCACTTGCGCGATTGCTCTTGCGCTCTGTTATTAGCTCGCTTGTTCGCTTGTTCACTTGCCCACTCGCTAGCCCATCCGATTACCTACCTTCCCACTTTCATGTCCGCCCGCTTGCTCCCTCGCTCGCTCATTTGCACATTATTAATTTCTTGTGTTTCGTTCACTTGCCTCTTCCACCCACTTTGTCAACTCGCCTCTTCACCGAATGCAAGTATCCTCTCCAGCTCAAGAGGGCCATGCAACAGCCGGAACAAATGAGTGCGCACACAGATTGGTGTCATCAGCAGAAAAACACAACAGGATTCCCAACATGATATGCATGTTTTGATGACGTCGCTATTTTTGTGCCCGGTCTGAAATGACATAGGCTTGATGGCCAGCCACCTGATATCTACACTAAGGGGCAGCACTTTCCCACTTCCCCAACTAGAGGGAAACATAATCATCTCATGACGGTCATTCTCAGAGCTGGAATTCAGTCAAATGAAGCGCAAAACCAAAGATAATGCCATCGTTTTCTGTGTGGCCATTGGTGTCTGAGCTGAAATCATCAATTCACTTCGCTTGAGCCAGTTTCATCACGAGCAGCGGGAACCTGGATTCTCTAGCCCTTCTCCTCAGCAGTGCTGTCTCGGTGTCTCTGACCCCTCATTGACTCACCCACTTATCCATCCACTCACCCGTCCACTCTGCTGCTCATCTGTCCACTCACTCGCTCACAGACTCATTCTCCCACTCACCCAGTCATTCGCCCTTCCACTCACCCACCCTCTCGCCCGCTTACCCGCCCACTCGTCAGCTCACCCATTCACTCGCCTGCCCACCCATTCACTCGCCTGCCCATTCGCATGCTTACTCCCCTGCTCACTCGTCCGCTTGCCCGCTACGTGCGACTTGGCAGGCATTCGCGGCGTGTCTGAGGAGACGACCACGGGCGTGCACAACCTCTACAAGATGCTCAAGAACAATGAGCTCAAGATCCCAGCCATCAACGTCAACGACTCCGTCACCAAGGTAACGTCCCCAGCGCCCATCCCCACCCCCCTCTACCCCCACCAATGACGGACCTCCCTCACTGCCAGCCTATCATCCGACTCCCCCCACCCCCGACGACCCACTTCCCCCCCCCATTTCCGCTGCTGGTCCACGTAAACCCACCAAGATTTGTGGGTTTCTTCACAAGTCTATGGTTTTCTGTGAGTCGGAGTCTGTGTAATTCCGCAGTTTATTGTAAATATAAGAGTCTCTTTGTAAGTCTCCGTGCATGTTTGTGTATTAAGTTTACAGTCCTGTGCGAGTCTATGTAGGTAGGGCTCGATGCCCATTACATAATTGGATAAAATGGTGAGAAAGACAAAAGAATGTTTAAAAATATCGATCATGATTAAGCAGGGGCGGATGTTTATTTGTATTTGTGGGCAACTCGATTTTGGCTACAGAGTCAAAACGGCTTGGCGCAATCTTTTTGTGAACTGTCCCAAGGTCATGAACTACAACTCCAAAAAAAACACGGCTCTGGGTCGCCACACCTTTGGAAAATTGTGCAGTGGCTTAAAATCACCATCGTGCGACGAGAAAGGCAGCTTGGCGTGGGGCATGAGACTATGGCGCGTCAGAGTGGGTGGGAACGCACTGTCTAAAATTACGTCCTCCACAGAGATGGAGCAATGCAATTGGCTTGCGTGTACAGGCGCGAGATCTAATGTTACTTCGTGGGATCGTGAGAGATGACGATGGTCTGGAAAGACTTCATCCAGCAGTGGAATGATTATGGCAGGTGATGATGATGATGACGATGATGATATGCGACATTCCTCGTTCTCTTCCGTGCCCTGATCCCTCTTATCTCCCGTTTCTTCCCGTGCCCACGATTCTGCCTCCACTACTCACCCCCTCCTCCCTTCACCCCCCTTCCCCCATCGCACGGAACAGAGCAAGTTCGACAACCTGTACGGGTGCCGCGAGTCACTGATCGACGGCATCAAGCGCGCCACAGACGTGATGATCGCCGGAAAGGTGGCAGTGGTGGCCGGCTACGGCGACGTGGGCAAGGGCTCCGCGCAGTCGCTGCGCTCGTTCGGGGCACGTGTCATCATCACCGAGATCGACCCCATCAACGCGCTGCAGGCCGCCATGGAGGGTGAGTGCGCCGCCACTATCGCTACCGCCACCACTGTAGTTGTCGTCATCACCACCCTCACCACCACCACCCCAGCTGCCAACATCGTTACCGACACCGTCACAAATTGCCATTGCCGCGACCGCCAACATCATCATGACCGTCACTACCGCCACTTCTGCCATCATCGCGACCAGTTCCATTGTGACCGCAACCATTACCACTAATGCAATGATAGTGACAGCCACCGTGGTGACAGCCACCGTTACCACCGCCATCCATGTCGATGCCATCACTGTGCCACAGCCTTTGACGACGTGACCCATCTGGCCCCCGAGAAAGGAGTAACACTGACACCAGCATTGGTGACACCAATATCACTGACACCGCCATGTTTGTTCTCACTCCGTCTCTCTCCGCCCCAGGCTACGAGGTGACGACGATGGACGAAGCCTGTAAGGAGGCCAACATTTTCGTGACAACGACCGGATGCAAGGACATCATCACGGGCAGGTGGGGGCTCCCGTGGCTTCATTTGCGCACCTAGCCTGGCACAGGCGGCGTGGCGATATCGCCATCGGTCAGCGGTGATTGGCTGCCGTTGTTATCGTTCGTGCGCTAGATCTGACCGTGTGCGCTCGCGTGCTTGTTGTTCCCGTGTCTTGCAGGCATTTTGAGCAGATGAAGGAGGACTCCATTGTGTGCAACATCGGTCACTTTGATTGCGAGCTGGACGTCAAGTGGCTCAATGACCACGCGGCCGAGAAGATCAACATCAAGCCACAGGTAGGGGGCCCACCTGCGATCCGCGAGCCAGACGTGACCCGTGACTTCGTTTCATATGGCCAATGACTTTTAAACTATTTAAACATTTTTTTTATTTTACCAGGTAAGGCCCACTGAGCTTTTTAGCTCGAAGCGACCTGGCCACAAATAATAGTGCAACGAAGTGGCTCATTGCGTGGGAATTTATAGCAGCCAAATACCTTGAACGCACATTGATTATAAATGTGGGGGGGGGAAAAACTGGACCCAGAAAAATCCACGTGGTGGCTCACCACTCGAACAATCCTGCAGTCATGTGATGCCTACCACTTGGTAATGGCCCGCACATGATATTTATTTGTCGCTGTCTTAGCGCACTAATAGATTGCTGGCGGCAGGGACTATTTTTGACCTCCCAACACTGTTTCTAATTTCGCCCCACTCAGTCACTTCTGTCACTGCAAGAGCCTCTTGCAGTGACGGTCACTTTTGCTTACGTGGGTTGGTCAAGGAGTGGGGGGGTGAGGGGTCAGAGTTGGGGTGGGGGGGGTTGCGGCAAGGATTGGTTCAGATCTCACTCGCCACTGACGTTAGTCGTGGCCAGTAATCAAACTTTACTGGCTGGGTTCACAGCGTAGTAAGCTATGCACCGCGTTACCTGCGATCAATGGTGGAGAGATGTTAACTACCTTGCCTGGTATACAGAAGGTCGTGGATTAGATCTCAACTTTGATGCCTGTATATTTGGAGTTTGCGTGTCTCTCCCCATGGTCGTGTGGATTTTTCTCTCCTGGTCCTCCGGGTTTTCCCTCCCACATTTAGAATGAACATGCGCTGAGAGTATTTGCCTGCAATAAATTACACATAAGCCACTTCATTGAGCTATCATTTTGTCGCCAGGTCACTTCTCAAAAAGAGCTATATAGCTTGGTGGGCCTCACCTGGTTAAATAAATGTAGTTTAATTTTTTTCCATAATGGAGGCACCCCGCTTTATATATTGTACAGGGCACAAAAATGTATCCTCCTAACTAATACGACCTCTTTGCCCCCCCCCCCCCACTTCCTTCCGTCTCTGCCCTCCCACTCCACAGGTTGACCGCTACCGCTTGAAGAACGGGCGTCACGTGATCCTGCTGGCAGAGGGGCGGCTTGTGAACCTGGGCTGCGCCATGGGCCACCCGAGCTTTGTGATGAGCAACTCCTTCACCAACCAGGTGCTGGCACAGATCGAGCTGTGGAAGCACACTGACAAGTATCCGCTCGGCGTCCACTTCCTGCCCAAGAAGGTAGCTCCCTTTTGTTGCTCACCCGGTCGGTCACTCATTTGTTCACTCGCTCGTGCTAGTTTACTCGTTTGCATGTGTATTTACTCACTCGTAAGAGTGACAATGCATCGATTTGTTTACGGATATCGACTCCCACAGCTCGTGATACATGGCGTCAGATTGTGTCTGTTTGCCTTTCTGTTTGTGTGTGTCCATGTGTGTCTGCGTGCGTCTGTTCATGTGTGTGTGTGTGTTGCTGTGTCTATATTCATCTAAATGTGTTTGTGTTGATGTGTCCATGTGTACCTGTGTGGTCGTGTGTGTGTGTGCGTCCCTGACCTCTGTATTTCATCCTCATTTCCCACCTCCCACCCCCCACCATCTCCTTCTCTCTCCGACCCGTTTCCCCCCGGCACAGCTGGATGAAGCCGTGGCGGAGGCTCACTTGCACCAGCTGGGTGTGAAGCTCACCAAGCTGTCGGAAGATCAGGCTTCCTACCTCAGCATTCCACGTGAAGGGCCGTTCAAGCCTGACCACTACCGATATTGAAAGCTGTGCCCCGTATCCCACTCTCTCGCCCCAAACCCCCCCATGCTGCCCTGCCATGCCCAGGGTTGCACTAGACCTAACGACAACTGGGCATGTTTCCTATAAGCTACCGGTTCCCAGAGTTTGAGACATTTCATTCAGCACGCAACTTGCATTGCCCCCCGACTTGTGGCTGTGTTCGTGAGGTTTAAATGGTAAAAGAAATGAAACTCATAAAAATAGAAATCTTGAACTCAATTGCCAACGGTTTGTCGGAAAGTCTAACCGAAAGACGAGGCCGAATGCGTGCGCGGCCCTCATCTCGATTCTGACACTCGATGTCTCCCCACCGGAGTGCTCTCGTGACGTCGCTGTGGCGACTTCCTAGAAGCACAGCAGTCACTGATGCCGGGACATTACTCGAGTGCGATGGTGGTGCTCCTGAAAGTCACTTTAAATGTATTTTTGTCTCCGAAACGAAACTTCAAACCTCGCAGGAGACAGCCCTGACACACAGCCTAGCTACGAGATTTGAGCTGTTCGATGGGTTTGGGTTGTGTCCCTATCGGCTTTTAAGTGCTGCTCAATATCCGATGGCTCAGCCTAATATCTATTTCACAGAGAAAATGCCCAATTTCCATTTGGTCCAATCCAGCCCTGATCATGTCGTGCCCTGTAGCAGCAACGATAACAATGCACCAAGCTCATCCCCTCTCCCAATACAACAGCACAGTGGTCCGCGTACACAGTGGTCAGAGAGAGAGAGAGTTGCTCACAATGATTCTCTTGGGTGGTTGAGTGTTAAAAATCCTACATTAAAACACAACAGGTACGTTGATGTATACATGGGGCCACCCACAGAGTGGCCGAGTGGTTTGTCACAGCTGTTGCATTCATGTCAGTGGTTATCCGGTACATTTAATTGACATGGTTTACGTCGCAAACTTCACAGGTTTTTTTTTTAATGTGGCTTGAAAAAAATCTCGTGCAGTTTTCGACCAAACCCAGTTGCTCCCGCCTGGCCAATGTGTTCAAAAGGAGTAAGGACTCATTTGGTTTAAAATTGATCCTTGTGTACACGATGCACGAATTCCATCTTGTTTAGGAGAATCGATCATTTACAATTTGCAGACGGATAAAACGAAACATCCTCTGTGTAAGAAGATCTATCTTGGGATCTCACTTGGCCCATCATCGTTAAAAGTATCTGCAGGTCAATAAAAATTAGTTCCGCTTTGTAGGACCATCATCAGTGTTCGTCCTATGGGATGGACTGTTACTCGTCCATAGCAAGGTGGAAATTCGACACCGCTGGATCAGGACTCCCAATGGAATTGAACAATCACCCCACACGGGCTTTGTTGGTTTCTCCACACGGGCATCAATCTCATTTCAGAAGCCTCATGTTTGCTCCAGTTAATGCTGCTGATGAATTGGTTTGTAATCGGTGATGTTGGACATTTTTAGGCAACTAAAGATTGAATAAGACGGCCGTGACCGAACCATCTGTGTGTGTGCGTGGTGGGGAGCGGTGGTGTAGCAGTTAGTACACTCGTGGCCAACACTAGTGATGATTATCTGAACCATACCTGGGCCTCCCCTAGGTCGACTCGGCCTCAAATGAGTACCTGGTGCAGTGTGGAAACATCGCCACTGGGAGACAAAGGTGGCTGGGTGTGGTCCTGGCGACCCACCCCCTCGAGAGCTGTGCCGACCTTCATAGGTGCCATCTAATAACATTTTCCCCAACAGTCTGTTAAGGCTCTACGGGGGATCTTTGCCTTTTTTGCATGTGTGGTAAGTTATAAGCTATCGCGCAGTGGTGTTGGTGTGCTGCACTATGAATCCAGCTGCCATAATTTGGATCCCGTCGAGGTTGACTGTTAATAGAGTACTTCGTGAGGTGTGTAAACAAAAGCACTGGGGATACAAAGGCGGCCAGGCGTGGTATTACACCACCCAGTTGTGCACCCATGCCAGCTTCAATAGACGCTCACTAACAGCGCTTTATCCCAACAGTGAGACTTTTTGAGGATTTCTTTGGTAAATAAATAACACCATAATTATCTTTTGATTTAAAGCTTTCGTGACTGCAGGGATTCATATTCTTGGTTCTTTCGGTAAAGTCACGTATTTTATTGTTTCCCTTCTACGTGACTTTACCGAAAGAACCAAGAATACCATCATCGTTGCAAAAAATGTGGACAGACTAAAAGGGATGACGAGAAACGAATGCCCAGAGACTAACACGGGGAAAATGAATGTCCATAGGGTTACATGGGAAATCAGAACGCCCATAGGCTAACATTGAATAACGAATGCCCACGGAATGCCCAAAGGGTTACATTGATAAACGAATTTCTTTGAATCCTGATGTGACAGGTTCGATTTCATCTCCTGGGTGGCTGGTGCAATAATTGGCAAGTTTCATAAAGTCATCCATTCTCCGCGCAGCAATATAAATGGGTACACCACGGCCAAAAAGGCAGGTCGTGTGTAGTGGGATGAAATGTGGGTACTCCGACATTATTCTAGCACGTCTGCTCGGTGTGGAAGATTTGGCAAAATACCCGAAAGAGGGAACTCCCTTCTGCCAGCAGTGGCGTAAGCGCAATTGCAGGCCTGCAGGGTCACATATACAACCAAATGTAGCAAAAACTGAAAAGTTTGTGCAAAGAAGCGTGGGAGATGCACGCCGGGCGGTGGTGGCTGTGCACGTGGCTTGCAATTCAGCAGTGGAGGCGGCGGCGAGGGTCAGTGGGTCACCACACACATGTCGTGAAACTCCCTTCCCGTGGGCATCGAGGACGTGCACATACCCTGGCTCGCCAGGAGACGGCAGTACAGCAAAAGGTGGGCCCCACCTGTATCGTGTGTATGGGGTAGAGCAGTTGGTTCTCGACCGCTAGTACAGGGACCCCTGGGGGGACGTGCGGTGAATTGCGTGAAATAATATCATACATGAGTCACTGGTGAGTAATGTATGAATCTGGCAATATAAAAAAACTACGATACAATTTAATGCCATATGGTAACCTAGAATGATATAAAAGACCTTTCTAAACTCATTGATCGTAAACTATCTGGTTTCCAAGAGTAACGTTGCGAGGGTGAACAAATTACGTCCTGCGTGCAGAACGTACGTTGAATTTTTTTTATTCGCTTGCAGCTACTAAGCTTGCCAGTTAAGATATCTCACAAAATGGACAATTACACTATTGATGTTCATTCTTCCTACATTTATTTATCAAAACCATGTTGAGTCAGGCAAGGGGATACTCGGTTGAAACTAAATTTAACCTGGGGTACAAGAGCCAAAAAAAGTTTGAGAACCACTGGCGTAGAGTGTTGCCCCCTCGCATGCGTTGGGTTTTCTGCGAGTGATCGGGTTTCCTCCTACAAGGTAAACAGTTAATTAGCCGATAACACCTTTATAGAGGGCCGCAGAGCTTGGGCAATTATTGGTAGCGCCGGCTCACCGCGTGGCCGCTGCTGCCTTCCCGTCCGTATGTAGTTCGTATGTATGCATGTATGTTCGACTTCTTTCACACCGTACGTAGCCAAGTGCTAATCAGAGGGAAAGTTCCTCCTGGCGCCTCCCTTCAAGAGCGAACGAATCCTGAGACACAAAAAGGGACACGTTCATTATAGAGAACATAAGCAGGTTAATAATGAGGCAAACTTAAGAAACAAATTCCGTGCTTCAAGTTCATTCAAACAGTGTTTGCAACACTCCACCGTGGATCGGTCAGTCTTCCCCACTTCTTCCAGGCCACATGGCTTATGATTATCGATTGTGTGTTCTCGAGCCCAGTTAGCATCACCTTGCATCGTCTGTTCACCCGAGTGTGGACTTCTGGGTGGGGGGCCCAGCTGACTGGAGATATGGCGTGATTATCTCGAGAAGTGGGAGAGGTTGACCAGCCGATTGTAGCAGCTATCGTCCCATCATCCTTCTGTTCTGGAAAAAAAAAACATTTTTGCCAACTTCCCACTAGTTAACGTGTCCCCACTCTCTACTGGAAATCTGTGAAAAAAAGAGCTTTATAGCTCATCGGATTACTCCAGTCTAAATAAATATTCTGATTCTTCACGAGAAAAGGCCACACAGAAGTCGCTGGATTTACGTCTCGTGCTGATTTAGATACTGCGAGACCCCGGTGTACGTCTCCCCCTTTTACGTCGTTTCGCAAATACGTCGCCACGTTATTTATACCGCTGCCTGATTTGCATTGGCTCGACCCCCACACTAACGTCGCCGACAGCATCGTCCGTCCTTTCTCGCATCTGTCGCAGCAGCGGCCTTCGCCTCCACCGCCGAGTACCCTATACATCGCTTTTTTTTTACGTCGTTCCGACATTCGTCGACGCAACCTTTCATGGACGCATCCCCAATTTAAACCGAAGTATTCCTGCACACCGTTGTACCGTACAGATAGGATGGTTCTCCCATAGTGCCCTGAATAAGATGACACCATCGCACTGCGTGGATAATGCAAGAAGGCAGCCTCAGTCCACCAACTGAGAAAACAAAGAGTCCAAATTAGGCCCTTTCATTTTCAACAGCAGCTGCCTGCATGTTTTACCACAGGTTATGTGTGGCCAATGCAGGTTAAATGCCTTGTAATAGGCGTTAAAGCCTTTTAAAAGCTTTTTTTCATCAACTTGTTCCTGGAAAAAAGGGTCCCCCGTAGTTATAACGGCTTAACCCGTGCTATGAATGTTTTGGCGGTTGCATCGTCCTTGGGACCATTCGCCCTTTGGTCCAGCACTGGTGAGATAAAGCAAATAAAAGAGGTTGTCTGTGGTGGAAACCAATAAGTTTAAAGGACAATGCGTACATTATAGCCATCGCTGTTCACGGGTTGCCCCCACCACCTTTCTGGTACCATCCCCTACAGCAACAGCCTCCATTCACCACTAAGTGGTGGTGACGTCACCACGGCGCTTGTGCCAGGCTAGGTGCACTTTAAGGCGACGTGAAGTGTCGAACGCCTGCTGGCAGGTCACGGGGAAGTCCCAGGTGTTACGGGTTGACTGAGATGCACCACCTGTGCCAACTTGCTGCGTTTTATTCGCCCGGCGCTTCGCTCGTTGTTTTGAGTGTCGCTCTTCTGCCCTCCGTTATTGGAGGGCGACTGCCTCCAACTGCCCAGTAGCAGCAGCGTCCTTCACGAGCCTCCTCCTCCACAGAGGCCCATCTTGACGCCGCTGGTACAAATCATTGGCAAGACCGCTCAGCTCTATTTCTCGTACCGCATTCCACCAACCCCACTCACCCCCCACACCAAACGCCACTCCTCCCCCTGCACAACCATTTGGACCATCACTTCACTCACCCGTAAGGCCATTCAACCCGCCCCCTACCCTCCCAACCTGCCCGCCTTACCCATCTCCCACCGACCTTCAACCTTCCTCGTTCACCCACCACCCACATAATGCAAACATAACCCCACTTTCTCCTCCTATTCACCACCCACATCCCAGCCCTCGCTATACAATCCTCACTCTCTCTCAGCCTCTCACTCACGACTCATCTGACTCACCTTTATACCACGCGCGCCTCTCCCAATTGCGCCCTCGCGACGTTGCTGGGTCCAGATGGCTGCTGCTGCGAGAGATGAGCGGCGGGACGGTGGCCCTGCCAAACATCAGCCGCTCGCCGGCAAAATAGCCGTGGTCACGGGTTCCACGTACGGGTGAGTGCGACCTGGTCGCGGAGCGGTTGGAGTGCGGTTGGGGGTGTTGGTGGGGGTTGCGGTCCTAAACTCCTGGTGAGAACCTGTTTATTTAGGATTCTACCACCGCGTGTTGTTCTGGCATCATGTCCGACGTTTCGCCCCTCCGCGTACTGGGAGATATCTAGGAACTGGACTGGACGTCACGAGATGGAAAAAAAACGCACAATCGCCAGCCAGTGGGAGTAATTGGACGAGACGTGAACTGATTTTAGTGACTGGAGAAGCTCCCGGCACGTGGAGAGCGCGAAACGTCGGGCATTGTGCTGAACAATGAGCAGTAGTACATGTTATTACAACTCGAAATCACAGGAGTGAGATCTAAATATCAATTGCGTTCCAGTGAAATCTTAAAGCAGTGATAATGGGGGAAACGTTTCCTTTACTGGGGGGGAGGGTTAAAGGGGGAGTGGGGTGGGCGAATGCGCGTGAACAGCCAGGTTCGTCCACTGCTGGATGAGGACACACGGAACGCCTACAAAATACCCACTGCATTCCAGGCTCAACAGCTGCTCAACTTCTGAGCGGTGATGTGATCCAGTGCGTTCCGAGGGATCGGGGCGAGAATGGTGATGAAGTGGTTCGCGCACTGCTGCGTTACAAACCTGGCCCCCCTGGGTTCCATTCCTGGCCACGACCAAGATCAGTGACGAGTTGGTCTTGGGTTCCGCTGCACTCCACCAACTCGCATTGACCAGGGTGGAGGTTTGTTGTGGCCAACAAAACCTCCATGATCAGGGGTCGGCAACCTGCGGCTCGGATCCTGAGTCGCATGCAGCTCTTTAAGGACTGCTTCGTGATGTTACTCATTAAGGACCGTCTCGTATTCACATGCATTGCGGCTCTTGAAATATTGAGGGGGTTTTTTTTTACCGAATTCGAAAAAAACACTTGTTATTTTGGTTGCCAAACCCTGCCCATGACCTACGCGGTCAAAGGCTCGGGATGGTTCTACGGGGGTCAGGGTGACGCGGGAGGGGTTATCGTAGACAAAGTTTGCAAGGTCAACTGTGTGTAAACGGGGTTGAATTTATACTACAGACAAGTGGTGGCGACGTGCCAGGCTAGGTGCACTTTGAAGCTACGTGAATTGTGGAAGGCTCGCTGCTGGAAAGAGGTCCCGAGGCAGACCCAGGTGTTACGGGTTGACTGAGATGACTGGCACCACCTGTGCTCCCCAACCGCACGGTGCTGCCCTCGTTGCTATGAGTGTTGCTCCTCCACCCTCCACTGTTCATGTTGGAGGTTGCAACGCTTGCTCCGGTAATGATTTTGGCACAAAGTTTCCATGAAACGATTGATATAATTATAGCGATATAGGGTACGTTGATAAAGGAAAATGATTCACACGTGTACCTTATGATCTAGAATAGTATAGTGCCTTACGCCGATAATCCCTACACCCAAACCATCCGAGCAACATTGCGATAAATATCGAGTGAAATATAATTTATTCTCTACTTTTGTGTGCAAATAAAAGTTTGAACATTGAAAAACTTGTTTTTTTACCTATATTTTTTATTGGTATTTATTTTTGTTTCTTAAGACACAAAAAAAGATCAGATCTCAGGACCTCCCAACCCTCTGGTGAATGCATCAATGAGCGAACGAATACGATCACTGTAATCGGTGTAATAGATGAGTTAACTGCACGAACATATGATGTGTGCCGTGTCAGGATCGGGCTGGCCATAGCGCGCAGGTTGGCCCAGCATGGCGCCCACGTGGTCGTGAGCAGCCGTACCGAGGAACACGTGGCCCACGCTGCCGAGGAGCTCCATGCCGAGGGCCTGAACGTCACGGGCATCGTGTGCCACGTGGGGGATGCCGATCAGCGCACAAAGCTCATCAAAGAGGTGGGGCCGTGACCCCGAACTTTGCACCATGAGCGTGACCCCTGCCTGCCGCGACGGGAGTTTCCAGCAGCAGTTACCATGCCCACCGCCGACGCGCATTTTGATAGCAAACTCAAACTTCAAGGTTGAAATTAAAAAAATATTACAAACACATTCAATTAAACTTTGTGCGTGTAGCCCCATACCACGGCGTAGGGAGTGGAGTCGACTGCGCAAAAACGGCAGCAGATAGGCAGGAAAGATCAGCGGGAAATGGAAGGGATGCCGGGACAGAAGTCCCCAAGGCAGACGAAGAAGAGGGAACGGCTCAAGATGAGCAGCAGGGAGAGCGAAGGAAGAGCACCGGTGGAGGAAGGGGAGTAGGAGGAGGAGAAGGAATGACCGTGCCGAGATGTCGGAGATGAGAGGGTGGTGATGATGAGAGGGGAGGGAAGAGAGGAAGAAGAGGGTTGTAAGGAGCAGGCAGAAGTGAGCTGCATGGAGGGCGGCAGGGACGGGAGAGGCATTCAGAGTGGGGGTGGCCACGCACAATTTACGTGATTAACGGGAGGCTTGAGCTTATTTAGGATCAGTGAGTGTGTGGTACACAGAGATCATGAGGGTATCTGGGAACCCGGGGTGCAGTGAGGCCCTGGTTCACCAATGGAACCCATTAAACTTTTACTGCCGCAACGGAAACAATATTCCATAAATAGTTTGAAAGCTATACGTCACGTTTGGTTTGTTATTCCTTTGCACGGGGACTACACCTCGCAATGTGCATATATTATGATTCGTTTCATATCTAAAAATGATAACAACCAATTAAAATGGATTGCAGAAAATGTTTAACCCGGCCCGATAAAGAAGGCTACAAAAGTATTGTTTAAAATAAGCAAAACAAGTGTTATGTACAAGTTCGCGAAGCAAATTAATATATTGCCAATCATTCGTCATCACCATCATCACAATCATCACTTACCTATCATAATCATCTCCGATTAGCACAATTGGCTACATATATAAATACAATCAACTACCATACCTACATCTAAAATGATCCGTGATGATTATCATCAGTAGACATCAGTCATAATGACAATAATAATCGTCAATTATCAGTCATTCACATCTTTTGCCGAAACGCACACACCACTCCGTGAGTTGCGTCACTCGGTTGCAACTTCTCCACAGCATAGTTGTGACAGATGTACTTTGTCCTGGCTATACAACCATGCAAATGCCATCATGAATGCGTGCGCCCTTGCAGACTGTGAGCAAGCTGGGAGGGCTGGACATCCTCGTGCTCAACGCGGCAGTGAACCCGTATGTCGGACCCCTCCTCAACGCCACCGCGGAGGTCTGGGATAAGGTGAGAGGCTCCAGATTTCCACCAGAGAACGCTAAAAGGCGAACAGTGCAAGGCCATAAAGAAGGCGGTCTCTGGTGTAGGCCAATCAGTTTCAAAGACAATGCGTGCATTATTATCCGAGTATGTTTGTTTGCATGTTTTGCCACAAGTACGTGTGGTTATTGCACACTTGATTTCTTGCAAATGGTATCTAATTTGTGTCTGAACATCTTAACACCTCATGTTTTATTGCCTATTCTTATTTTCATTATTATTTCTACTATTTATAGTCAGTCGGCAGTGATTTTCACAATCCCACACTTCCTCTTAGGTGCAGTTATTGGACATATGTATGAATAAATCTTGTCATACTGATATATTCTGACGGGTTGGTGGGTTAATTGGTTAATTGCTGGCCTATTTGATTGGTTGATTGATGAGTAAATTTATGTATTAATTAATTGGCTGACGTGATAATTTGTTATTTTATACGTGACCCCACAGGTGCTGGATGTGAATTTAAAAGCCCCGTTCCTCTTCGTGAAGGAGGCCGCTCCTCACATGAAGGAGCGAGGGTGAGTGACGGACGTGGGAAAGAGGGAGAAGGTAGGGGAGATATGAGGGGGATGGGGGGGGGGATGCGGGTGGGAGGGAGGAAGCGAGGGAGGGAATCGAGTAATATCAAGTTAATTTGCTTTACCATATGATTCGGCAACCAAAAAAGACAAGGGCCATTTTTTTCGAATTCGATAAAAACCTAAATATTTCAAGAACTGCAATGTATGTGAATACGAGATGGTGGTCCTTAATAAATAACGTCACGAAACAGTCCTTAATGAGCCACATGAAGCTCCGGAGCCAAAGGTTGCTGACCTCCGCCCATGGTAAACTGGACTTCCATGGTGAACTGGACTTCCATGGTCAAGGGTCAGCAAGCAAAATAACAAGAACCATTGTTTTCGAATGTCAAGAGCCACACTGCAGTCCTCAAAGAGATGCATGCGGCTCCGGAACTGCATGTTGCCGACCCGTGGCTTAACGAGGTGAGAACTCAAGAGAACAAAATGGGTCTCATTTGCAAGAGTGGACTGACCTGCATCACCAAAATGACAACAGCAAAACAAATAAAGTGCAATCATTGCCAATGAAGCAAATATAAATCAGTGCAAAAGCAAATGCGTCATCACGTGACGAATCGAAGACGTCGGCAAAAGCACGCATCGGTGTTAAAGGGTAGATTCCGTGTGGCATGGCGTGAGACGACGGACACGGAGCGGGCACCGCCAACCACTCGCCGCATACACCTGGCACCTGCTGCGTACAGCTGGCAGATTAACCAGGGGGGTCTCTCTCATATCAGCACCTCCCCCCCCCACCGCCTTCCCCCCCACCCCGGTCGTGTGGTTTAGGGAAGGTGCGGTTGTATTCATCTCGTCTGTCACCGCTTACTTCCCCAACGAGGTAAGGGGGTCAAGGATTCAGGGCTCAAGGCCAGTGTTAAAATAAAAACCATGAACAATTTATATTTTACCAGGTAAGGCCCATTGAGCTATGCAGCTTTTTCAGAACCTATCTGGCCACAAATGATAGCTCAATGAAGTGGCTCATCACTTGGAAATGTATCGCGGCCGAATATTCTAAACACACGTTGATTCTAAATGTGGAGGGAAAAAACTGGACCCAGAGAAAAATTCGCGTGACCACGCAGATTAAAAACATGCCAACTCCAAACATAACACAGGTGTCAGGGTCAGGATCGAACCCACGACCTCCATCATTCCAGGCGAGGCCGTTAACGTCTCATGACCTACTCGGGGGTCCCAGGCTGCATTCCCCTGGCAGGGGGGTAAGGACCCTCGATCGATTCCTTGCTCCCTCCCAGCAGTGGTTGGACATTAAGAGGGTGACAATGATAAACGATGGTGGTGGTAATTAAGACGCTGACAATTCTAAAGGTTTGCCAAGTGATTTAGCATCGGCAGCATAACATCGAAACATGGAAGTAGGGGGGCTGCTACCCCCCCCAATTCTTGTAAAACTGTAGGTATGCACCTTCGTGCTCACCACCCTCACCACAATCATTCTCCCTCACCATCTTGACCAAACTTACCCACCCGCACCACGCTCACCCACTCCCATAATGCTTACCGTACCACGCTCGCCGCGATCACCATCCACACCATGCTCACCGGCCATCCCTTGGAGGGTTGCGGCGCCGACTTTAATCTGTGCTCGCTAACAGGGGACTCGCTCGGTGTTGCCGTGTGCAGGACATAGGTCCCTACTGCGTGAGCAAGACGGCTCTGCTGGGCCTCACCAAAGCCCTGTCGCGGCCGCTTGCCGCCATGAACATCCGCGTGAACAACGTGGCGCCCGGGCTCATCGAGACCGGCTTCAGCGCCGGCGTGAGTGACTCCCAACACTTGCACGGGAGGTGCAGGCTCGGTAGGGGAGGTGCAGGCTCGGCAGGGGAGGTGCAGGCTCGGCAGGGGAGGTGCAGGCTCGGTAGGGGAGGTGCAGGCTCGGCAGGGGAGGTGCAGGCTCGGCAGGGGAGGTGCAGGCTCGGCAGGGGAGGTGCAGGCTCGGCACGGGAGGTGCAGGCTCGGCAGGGGAGGTGCAGGCTCGGCACGGGAGGTGCAGGCTCGGCAGGGGAGGTGCAGGCTCGGCAGGGGAGGTGCAGACTCGGCAGGGGAGGTGCAGACTCGGCAGGGGAGGTGCAGGCTCGGCAGGGGAGGTGCAGACTCGCTAACACCACTTGCTCCAACAATATATGCAGGTTCCACGGGGGATCTTTGTCTTTGTGATATAGTGTTGTGACATGACGTGATCACAGTGTGGCGAAGATGGCTGTGGTGGTGGTGTGGCCAGTGCGAACGCGGTGAGTAGTCACATTGTGGTGTGTGCGGTGCGTAGTCACATTGTGGTGTGTGCGGTGCGTAGTCACATTGTGGTGTGTGCGGTGCATGCAGCTGGCAAAGGATGAGAAGATGATGCAGATGTTCAGAAACGTTACCGCCATTCCCAGGTGAGTCTTAACGTCCGGCTGAGATCTACACAACTCTCATCCCTAAACCGAGGCCTGACGACCTTATTGTTGTTAACCCTAAACCATAATGGTAAATTGGCATTTCCACCCACTGCCTTTGGAGGCAGTGGCATGTCATGCGCCCTGCGGTGCAAGCCCCGAGGCAGTTGCACCGCCTGCACACTCAATAGCTATACATGAGCGAGCAAGACACTAGACTATGAGTGTCTGCGTGCATCTGTGACTTGGTGGTAAAGCGTGGTTGGCTTGGGCCCTGGTTGCAAGGTGCGATAATGGAGCCCGCTGTCCCAATTTGCCCTGCTACCTCATAGCCCAGTGGTCCGGTGCCTGCATGGGCCTCTGTGAGCCCTCGTGCAGTTGCATGGCCTGCACACTCGATTAGCTGCGCGACTGTCCAGCAGTGGAGATGGCGTTGGGTTTGACTTTGCAGGGCTGGCTACCCCGAGGAGGTGGCGTCCCTCGTCTCGTTCCTGTGCTCCCGGGATGCCGGCTACATCACGGGGCAGACGATGGTGGTGGATGGAGGGGGCATCTCGCGCCTCTAGTGCCCTGCACAACGCAGCTTACATCCTGCGCGCTGTAATCTACTGTCTCCACCATGCTCTCCGCATGATGCACCCTACCATCCTGCAACCTGCGCTAGGGCAGAGCATCCTGCACCCTGCACGATGCTTTCTTCACAACGTATCCGATCACACTGCACCCTGCACAATACAGCGCTCTGCTCCGTAGACCTAGCTCGCTTCCTGCACATCACATCCCATTTACCCTGCAAACGACACGCTTCACCTGTCTCTCTGTTGTAGCAGCTCCCTGCACCACCCGGCTGACCCCACTGCATGCCGCGTTCTGCACGTTGCCTCAAGGGCGTGTGGGTAAAGCATTCCCGTGGTAATTATTAAAACTATGAACAAAAAGTTTTACTTCACCAGGTAAATGAGTTATATAACTCTTGTTCGAAGCAATCTGGCCACAAATTATAGTTAAACGGAGTGGCTTACCTTGTAGAAACGTATTGCAGTAACATACTCTAAACACACGTTTATAAATGTAGAGGGAAAAAAACGGATAACCTGGAGAACAATCCTCGCAACCACGGGGAGGGAGAAAGACATGCAAACTCCAAATATTCAGGCGTCAGGGTCCCGATCGAACCCACGACCTCCTGCAAACTAGGTGAGGGAGTTAACATCTCACCAGGTTACACAGTAACAGAATCGAATGAAGATGCAGTCCCTCCACATGGCGTTGAACAGTTTGTGGGGCAAGCAAGTGCTTAAAGAGAACTTTTTCAGGCCAGCATGTTACACGAGGGGCGTGGGTGGTCAGTCTCATGACTTTTCAGGAGAGTCCTACCAGGTTTTCCCAGCGATGATTGCTATGCACAGTATATTCCAACTGAGTAATTTGCGGGCAATTTTATTAAATTCGGTAAATGTGGCCCATGACGCTGGCACCTTCAACATTCGCTCGGAAGCAGGCGGCACGTGGTGTCTTTGCGGTGAACACGCCTGTAGCATTAAACAGAGCGGCCGCTGGATTCGAACCGCAAACCTCTGCGACAAACGGCGAACGCACTACCGCGACAGCTACGTCGAGTGTGTAATCACTCAACATGTGTGAGTGATTACACACAACATTGCGTTGAGTAATTATACAACAATGTTGATTCCACACGACAATGTTGTGTTGAGTGTAATCACACAACGTTTTGTTGAGTGTAATTACACGCAACAATGTTGATTACACAACGTTTTATTGAGCGTAATTACAACAATGTTGATTACACACAACAACGTTGTTTTGAGTGTAATCACACGCAACGTTGTTTTGAGTGTAATCACACGCAACGTTGTTGATTCCACAACAACGTGTTGCGTCTAATCACACACAACAATGTTGATTAAGCACAACAACGTTGTGTTGAGTGTAATTGCACACAACAACGTTGGTTACATACAACAACGTGTTGAGTGTAATTACACACAGCAATGTTGACTACACACAACGTTGTGTTGAGTGTAATCACGCAACAATGTTGATTACACACGTGGTGTTGAATGTAATCACAGAATGTTGTTGTGTAATTACACTCAACAATGTTGATTGTAATCACACAACAATGTTGATTGTAATCACACAACAACGTTGTCTGTAATTACACACAACAATGTTGATTACACACGTTTCAATGAGTATCATTAAAACACTGTTGATTACACAGAATGTTGTGTTGATTGTAATCACACACCAACGTTGTGTTGAGTGTAATCACACCCAACGTTGTGGAATGTAATTACACGCAACAAAGATTCCACAACAACGTGTTGGGTGTAATCACGCACAACAACAATGTTGATTATTCACAACAACGCTGTGTTGAGTGTAATCACATACAACAATGTTTGACACAAGAACGTTGTGTTGAGTGCAATCACACACAACAATGTTGACACAACAACGTTGTGTTGAGTGCAATCACTCAGAACAACGCTGTATTGAGTGTAATCACACACAACGTTGTGCGTGTTGAGTGTAATCACACACAACAACGCTGTGTTGAGTGTAATCACGCAACAATGTTGATTACACACGTTGCGTTGAATGTAATCACACAACAACGTTGTATTGAGTGTAATCACACACAACAACGTTGTGCGTGTTGAGTGTAATCACACACAACAACGCTGTGTTGAGTGTAATCACACAATGTTGATTACTCACAACAACGTTGTTGTGTATCACACACAACGCTGTGTTGTGTAATATAATCACAGGCACCAATGTTGATGACACACAGCGTCCAACAGAGGGCGCCGTAGTCGTGGCATGGTGACGCGAGTTATGAACGCCACTCCGGCGCCGTAAAGCCATCAGAACCGGAATATTCATTTATTTGTACACTGGAGGAATCCGATGAGCTACGAAGCTCTTTCTCACAGACGTCCAGCGTCTTGGCCGTCACGATAGAACGAGGCCGTTAAACGTGGCGGTATAAATGAGGGTGATGCTAAGTCGGTGTGTCGTGCCCGAGGGAGGTTGCCATGGGCGTGTGCGTGCCCGTGTCAGGAGCGAGGTAAGGAGGACGAGGTGAGGGGTGAGGAGGGCGAGGTGAGCGGTGAGGAGAACGGGGTGGGGAGGACGAGGCGAGGTCGGTAAGGGAGGTGCCCGTCTCAGGAGTGTTACACGATATTTGTTGCTTATGCTCGATGTTTGATTTGTGACGAAACATTGAATAAAGTACTTAATACATCCGGAATTATAGTCAATTATTCGTGTCTGCTACATCTATCTACACGCGTGCGTGTATTTATCCTAGAGGGATCTCATGAGCTTTCACACACGTCTAGAAGGGGCGGGTCAGCCAGTTGCATCAACAACAAAATGTAATAAAGGATACTAGAGTAAGGATTGAGAAAATGTAATCAAGTCACAAGTAAATATGTAGTGCAAAAACAAACTGTACAGTACATACCTTCCTGTAGATTTGTCAACATAATATCCAAGCTTGGGCAAGATGGCAAAACACCAACACCGACAGCCAAAGGACCACACCAAGACCATACAGTCGCCTCGAGTAACTTGCACTGAAACATTGAACTCTCGACACGTGGGCGAGGAGGCTCCTAGTCTCAAATCGCAGACGCTGAGCCGGAGGGAGCTTCCTCTGCCCCCATTGGGTGCCTGGGAAGAGGGGTCACGTAACTGGCTCCGCCCACGGTAGTCCTTGATGAACCAAGTCTTCAATGATTGCGATGGTGTCAGGTACAGGAACTTTGGTGAATAAGGAAACTACATCAAAACTGATAAGCAGGTCGTCTGGGGACAGGGAAATACCCTTGATTGTCGATACCAGGTGAGTAGAATTTTGTACCGCAGAGGTGGTTTTTCCAGTGAAAGGCTGCAGGATTTCAGACAGAAACCGAGCCAGTTTGTAGGTGGGGGAGTTGATAGTAGAGACGATGAGACGAAGGGGTGTATCTACTTTATGTATTTTTGGTAAGCCGTATAATCTTGGTGGCCTGGCAGCAGAAGGTTTCAATGAAAACTGTTTGGTTTGATCAATTAATGCAGTTGAATCAGAAATTATTTTGTTGGTTTGTATGATGAGGCTGTTGGTGGGATCTCTTTATTTTGTATAGCTGCCATCGTTGAGTAATTCTTGAATTTTCTAGATTTGAAGCTTTCGTGACTGCAAGGATCCATACTCTTTGGTCCTATTCGGTAAAGTCACGTAGGTAAAAAAAAATAAAACAAAAAACAAAAATCACAACGTTTCAGCCACAACACAAGCGGCCTTCATCAGGTGAAGGGACCAGACTGTCTCGAAGACTGCGCTGAAATGAAACAGAGCCAAGCTCAGATCACGACCTTTAAGCTGTGTGAGAGGGATTAGGGTGCCTTGACAAAGGAATTAGCGTAACAATTAGCATTTGATTGGCAGACTTAGCATGATGAAAGGTGCAGCTCAGTGATCGGCGACGGCAATGCAACCGCCTGTGCTGCGAAAGTTTGGGGTACCATTACTTGAAAAAATATACTGTACCAATGAAAATTAGTTTAATGTTTGGTTCGATTTAGAACATCTTTCCAATGGTTGCTTAATTTGAAACCATCTTCTCGGTTGAAATTGTCTGTTTGTAGATCTGAATTGCCTCGTGAACAAATCTCTGATAAAAACCTGTGGGTTTGCAAAGAACCTTGGTATCGGAGAAAATTATATCGTGATCACCCACAGTGTTGTAACAGTGATCAGCCACGGCAGAATAATTCGTTCTGCCGTGTTTCAAATCTGATTTGTGCTCGCGAATTCGGTCAGAGACATGTCGCTTCGTCTCCCCAATATAGCAATCACCGCAGGTACAACTCAATTTGTAAACCCCGGGGTACTGTAAGTCAGGAATGACATCCTTCACGGATGATATCAGATCACGAATTTTGTGTACTGTATTGAACCGGACCTGGATCTTGTGTTTGTTTAGAATTTTGGAAATCTTTTTAGTAATGCCTGCTATGTATGGTAGTGTGATGGTTTTGACCGTAGTATCAAGTGGTTGTTTCTGTATGGAGGGAGAAACAGCTTGGCGGGTGGTACGGTCAGAGTATCCATTCCTTTTGAGGGCCAGGTGTACATGTTTTAATTCACTGGTCAGGTGGTGTTGGTCTGAAATGCAATGAGCCCTATGGTATAAAGTTTTGAGGAGAGAATTCTTTTGGGCTGGGTGGTGGTGGGAATCAGGCTTCAAGTAGGAATCTGTGTGGGTGGGTTTCCTGTAGACAGAATGCCCCAATGAGCCATCAGGTCTCCTCTCAAACAGAACATCCAAGAATGGTAGCTTGCCAATTTTCTCCACTTCCATGGTGAATTTGATGGCAGGATGTCTGGAATTGATGTGGTGTAGGAAAAGGTTCAGAGCTGACAGTGGCATTGCCCTTGTCGGCTGAGAGGATGACAATGTCATCCCTCTTTTTAAATTTATATTATTCAAAACGCTCATCTTTGCTGAGGTTGCTAGCTAGCATCTTAGCGTTTTTGAGGGTTGCAGCGATTTCAGATCTTGCTACGTCTGCAGCGATGTGACCAAGGCCCTTGAGAGCCACGTCTACTTGGGAAATTATATCATTAACTGGTATGTGTTTAGGTGTGACTGCAAAGTTTAGCCCTTTAGCTAAAATGGATTTCAGACCATCGGAAATAGAACTGTTACTGCGATGAATTACGACTTTGTTAACATCTAGCTTTTTGGTGTGTGGGTCCGGTCTTTTGTTGGAGAGGTTAAATTTGGAAATCAGGTTGTCCTTACATTTGGTCGACATAGTGGCAGCTGAAGAGGCAGTCATATTGTCTACATGTTCCCAATCCGATGTGGACATTGTTGCCGTCAATGATAAGTGTGATTTGTAGAGTGTCTTGTCTAACTGATCTAGGTCGGTGCGTATAAGTCTGATTTTCTCTGAGATAAGAGCTAAGCTAGTTCTGGAAAGAATTTGTTTCGCATTAGAAGAAGTTACAGCAGCAGAGGTCAGTGTAAATGCGATTGGTATTACCCCAGAGTCGCGGCATCTCTTCAGAAAGGTGAGACTCGATCAGCTGAGCCTTCTTATCCCGGAGTTTGAATAAACACAAGATCCAGGTCCGATTCAACACATTACATAAAATCCATGATCTGGTTCCGTCTGTAAAAGATGTGATTCCGGACATACAGTACCCTGGCGCCTACAAACTAAGTTGCCTCTGTGGTAGTAGTTACATTGGAGAAACCAAACGACATGTCTCGGACCGCATCCGTGAACACAAAGCAGACCTAAAACACGGTAGGACCAACACCTCGGCCATGGCAGATCACAGTTATAATTCAGTAGGCTCACATGTTATTGACTTCTCCAAGACAGAGGTTCTCTGCAAGCCATCTGGCTACCATGAGAGATTCGTTCATGAGGCTATCCACATATACAAACACAGAGACAATTTCAACCGAGAAGATGGATTCTGGCTTAGCAATCATTGGAAGGATTTGATAAACCATTTCGGGTCTTAATTGATTGTTCACGCTTACGGTGGCTTT